TGATGCTAAAAATAGATCACCTTAAGTAGTTGAGATCGAAGGAGCTGGGAGAGCAAAGTGGATCACTGCTCACGTGCTAGATGGCCCTAAGATACCTGCGAACAAAGAATACGTGAACTACGCAAAGAATACGTGAACTAGGCCGGGGGTTGATCCGGCGGAAACCCCTCAAACATATTGGAAGCCGGCGAAGATAGTCGGTGATTGTAGAGAGAATTCGAATAGTAGTATTACTCAAATAATAGGGCGTACCTTTCATCAATGAATTATGTCGTTATTTATACCTCAAATGAGATTGTTGGGCCCAAACCTTATTTGACAGTGATTGGGCCTCGGTGATAGTGGTCTTCAATATTGGGCTCGTGGCTCAATAGGTAAATAAATTGTAGGCCTATTGGGCTGACCCAATTAGGCATATATATATATATATATATATATATATATATATATATATATATATATATATATATATATATATATATATATATATATATATATATATAGGGAAATGAGTGATAACCCCCTAGTTTTGAAAATATATATAAGAAGGCCCAACAAATTTTTCTGCTCTAGTCAAAAACCCAAATTCTAATCTTAATTAGTGAGACCCCCTAGACAATTTGAAGTACCTATTTTACCCTTTTTAGTTTTAATTCAATATATGCCCTAACCCTTCTAATCTTCTCTCTTCCAACTCATGCCGCCGTTCTTTCCATCCCTCTTCATCTCTCCCTCTTTCTTACTCTCTCTGGCCAGATCTGGCCATCACTCGCCGGTGTTGCCTCCTCTCGCGGCGGCGAAAACTCTCCGGAGCTGCACTATTTCCCCTTCCAAACCGCTCCACGTCTCGAAGGTCCAGTCACTTCTACTGACAGAGAGAAGGAGCGATCTTCTCTGGTTATCTGCAAGGCGTACGAGGCCGTCGATCGGAGCCGATTCTAGAATCGTCGAAGGCGACGAGAAAACTGAAGATCGGGATTTACTTCACCACGTGGTGGAGCCTGAACGCGTACCCATTTCCATGGCTAACATCGATGCTCTCTTTGGCTGCTGGGTTTCTCATCATGCTAATTTCATGGGCTCTCAGAATCGCCGAAGTCCCGAAAACCGATCTCGATTTCTGAAAACCATTTTTCCGGTAAAACAAAACAAGGCTAATTTGGTGATTTTTCGATCTGTGATTCTAATTGGGTCTCATTTTTTTTCATTAATATTTTGTATATATTTAATCGAAAAATTGAATCGTTGATTGTTTTTTATGATTGGTTTGGTTGAATTTAATTTTTAGGTTGCAGTGGCACATACAATTATATGGCGGCTTCTGTGAGTATGTCATTCCTAAATTGAGTATTGAGGAAAATACCTTCATAATCTTCTAGCATGTAATTGTTGTATAGTTAACTGTTGTGAGTGTGTGGAAGTGAGGGTATGTGTGTGTGTTGGAGAGAGTGGATTGTGAGCCTTGACATTTCTTTTAATTATTAATATTTATGAAGTCAACAGTATAGGATTCAATGGCGAATGAATTTGATAGTATTAGTATTTTATGTGCAACAGTTTTGAGCGGTCGACGAGGAGCTTGCGGTGGCCAGGTGTGGCGACGGGGAAGGGTTTCATAGGGGGTGGATTTTCTCCTTTTTTTTATTTTACGTTTTATTTGGTTTGGGATCGAACCGAGCCTGCTTTTAGTGTTCTAGTTTCGATAGATCGGAGTTGTCGGGTTGAAAAGTGAGATTTGAAGCTATAAATTCAAATTATACTATACATGACTATACTCATATAGTTAGTCACATGTAGTCATATATAGTCACATATAGTCATATACATGTAGTCATATATAGTCACATATAGTCATATACATGTAATTATATATAGTCACGTTTAGTAGCATGTAATTATATATTTTTATATAAAAGATATGCGTTTCTTCTGATGTATACTGATGATGGTGTTAATGATTGTGTTTTTCGATTTTTTTGTTGGGCACTAATTGATTTATAATAACAAGATTCAAATTGTAAATTTATTTGTTGGTATAAATGAAGTTTTTTTTATATAATCAACGGGTTACATAATCGGTCGACCATAATTTTGGGGTAAAAAATAGTGCATGACTACATATAACTATAGATGACTGTCGTATACTATAGTCATGTGTAGTCAATTTATTTCAGTACAGTAAATTTATCAAAAAATTGAAAAAAATTAAAACAAATTAAAAAATTAAAAAAATTAAAAATTAAAAAAAATTAAAAAACTAAAAAATAAAACAAATTAAAAAATTAAAAAACTAAAAAACTAAAAAATTAAAACAAATTAAAAAATTAAAAAACTAAAAAACTAAAAAATTAAAACAAATTAAAAAATTAAAAAAAAATAAAAATAAAAAAAATTAAAAAACTAAAAAATAAAACAAAATTAAAAAATTAAAAAATTAAAAAAATAATAAAAATTAAAAAATACAACGGTATATATAAAAAATAATAATAAAATAAACATTTATATTTTTTTAATAAAAAAATCTGTATAGCTGATAAATGCAGGCCCAGAATGGTAAATGCAGTTAGGCATTATGCTGAATGCAGGCCCAGAATTCTAAATGCAGTTGGGCATTATGCTGAATGCAGGGGCGAAATTACTGATGCAGTTGGGCGAAAATTTAAGGGCACAATAGTATTTTTGCCTCTCCAGGGGTGTATCTCAAAGGAAGAATTTTAGGGGTGGACTTATCCCTATATATTTTCCATTCTAGGGGTGTATATCAAATGGACCATATATATATATATATATATATATATATATCCCATTAATGTTCGAAAAATGGATCATAAGTAAATGTTGAATTAATTAATTAATTAATTAATTAATTAAGACACGAAAAAAATACCTTAGGACTGATTATGCGCGTAAAAGGATCTCCAACATCGAGAGCATCCCTTTAATTTTATTATACGCAGCATCTTCTAATTTTAAGTCCTAATCTGTAAAACATAAGTCCCCTTCGAATTATTAGTTCATTGATTCGGACAAGGATAAAACCGATAAACGACAAACACGAAGCTCTCATCCTAATGTTGTCAACTGTCGATTCAAGAACACAACTACATTCATTTTCAACACTCGCAAAACTAATCAAACTAAAGAAGTTCGACGAGGGGCATTTTGGTCTTTCTTACCCTGATGATTGAAAGTTGGATCCATAAAGGTTTCTCTAATCAAACCCCATGTCTCCACAAGTGTTCTTTGTACAGTATTCACCTGTTTCAAAACAAAGTTAAGAATCTGATTAAAATAATATTTATTAATGTGAAATAAATAAATAACTTCTTTTTTTTTAAATATTACCTCACGGTTGTGAGAAACAGGAAAAGCTACTGTAACAACAAATTCTTATCTGCGATATAAACAAACAAGAAAAATTGAACAAAGATGATTTTATTGAATTAAAATAAATAAATTGCGGGTTACAATCTCTATTTTAATCCTTTGATTCTTCTCTCTAGAAAAATATATAGTTGACTTGAATTTTCGGAGTCGGGTCGTTGACTTGATCTTCTCCGGATTTGATTTTGGATTTGAATAACGTTTTTCAAGGGTCTTGCGACTTGAATCTCGGATCGAACGTTGAACTTTGACTTGATTTGACTTGAAGATCTTGAAATTCTTGATGGATTTGGCCCTTCAATCTTCCAGTGATCTTGACTTGAATTAATTAAGGTTAATCCGAAGGTTTGGCACCGTTATCTCGGATCGAACGCTAGATTTGATGAAGAATGCCTTGAATTTGCTCAAGAACACCTCGAATATGACGAAGAACACTTTGAATGTAGAGAGAGAATCTTACTGTTAAGTGTATATTTTTACACTTTATCGTATCTTTTTATTTGAGAGCTTTTGGTGTGTTTTAATGATAATTGGTGCTTAAAAAGTTGATTTATTGTATTGTAGGTACAAATTGAAGAATTGGAAAAGTATGGGGTCAAAACTGCAATTTTGGTGAAAATATGGGTCAAAAGTGAAAATATCAAAATTCTGAAGATTTAATGCTGAGACCCCCGTCCCAGTTTTAGTGCAAATCATGGGACCCCCGTCCGAGAATCCGAAGTTGCGCAGTAAAGGAATTTTAATTGCACAAGGAAACTGCCTTCTTCCCCAAGTTCTTCACCCTATATAAGACCAAGTCAAGCACACAATTGGGGATCAATCTTTTGACGCAATTTCAAGAGCAACAAAGCAATAACGAAGACGAAGAATTCGAAGACTCCAAGCAAAGATTTATCGTCTATGATTTATTTTATTTGCGTTTTTGCTTTAATCATGAGTAGCTAAATTACTTGTTTCTGGGATTTTATTTGGAACCCTATGTGGGATTTATGAACCCAATTATATGATTTTATGCAAGTTTTAATTCCGGATTATTTCTTCTACTTGTTTTATTAAGTTCATGAAACTGGCCACTTTATGCGCTTTTATGTTATTGTTAATCGCATGAATCGGAAGATCGGGTTAATAATTAGAACTGTGGTAGAAGAGCCTTTGTGGTATTAACATAGGAATATAGTTAATCTCTTAGGTAGCCAGTATTGAGATTTGTGCTTAATGCTGTGTTCTAGAATTAATTGCATAGGAATATAGTAATTGAATCTAGAGTATTAGAATCGTAATACACGCGGAAGCGGGTTATGATTATTTTAGCATCTCAGGTTAATAATCCGGGTTAATTGCTTGCATAATTGAAGGAATTGGGGGAATAATAATCACATAGGGGGAAGAATAAAATCCTAGGCTCGTTTACTCTGATAAATCTTCGTGTTTAATTTGCTTTCTTGCTTTGTCGTTTTAATTTGCTTTTTAATTTATTTTAGTTAATTCTCTTTAAAGTCGACTGTGTAGGGTGGGCTTGATAATAATTGGTAGAATTTAGCGTCTAGGATTAGATAATTAAATATTCTCTGTGGGTTCGATATTCGGACTTAATTGTCCACTATATTACTTGTACGATACGTGCACTTGCGTGTAGGTTTTCGACCAACAAGTTTTTGGCGCCGTTGCCGGGGAATATTTTAATTATTTATTTTATTCTAGCTTTAGATTTAAACAATTTTCACGATTCACCCATTTAATTTTCGTTTTATTTTATTTTTTGTTTTAGGTACTTTGTATGCGCAGGAGACTCGATCTTGCTAGAGAACCGTTTGATCCCGAAATCGAATGTACTTTTCGAGCCGCTAGGAGACTTCAACGCGCAAACAATATAATGGAGGACGAAGAACGCAGGGCACCGGGTAATTTACTCAATGCCAACGGAAACCAAATCCAAGACCCTCCCCCTCAACTTCCAGCACAGCCTGCAGTTCGTCCACGGGCACTTCAAGACTACATAATCCCGACTCATGACAGATTCCGCCCTAGCATCCAATATCCACCCATTGAGGCGCATAATTTTGAGATCAAGCAAGGCCTTTTGACGATGCTCCAAAATAACGGGCTATTTAGTGGGTTGGCAGGTGAAGATCCCCATCTTCACATTGTCAATTTTCTAGATACCTGTAATTCCCACCGTCAAAACGGCGTTTCCCAAGAGGCGCTTCAATTAATACTCTTCAAGCACTCCCTACAAGGAAGAGCTCGCCAGTGGTTGATGTCCCAAGCCCCCCACTCTATCTCGTCGTGGCCTCAACTCCTCAACCTTTTCATGAAAGTCTATAGCTCACCCGAGAAGGACGAGAGAATCCGACGAGAAATTCACAATTTTGTCCAAGAGCAAGGCGAGCAATTATACGAGGCATGGGAGAGATTTAAAACTCTTTTGAGGCAGTGTCCAACACATGGAGTCGAACAATGGCGGCAAATCCACATCTTCTACCAAGGGATCAACGAGAATGCACGAACCGTCTTAGATGCATCAACCGGGGGAAATTTTATGAGTCAATCGATACCGGATGCTTTCATCATGTTGGATCAAATTGCACAAAATCGGTTTGCCAAGTCAAGCGAGAGGACGGTTAGTGGAGCCAAGAAAGTTCCCGGAGTGTTGGAGTTAGATGCAATTACGGCCCTTCAAGCTCAAGTGACCCAAATTGCTCAACAAAATCAACTCCTTTTGCAGCACATCAAAGCAAATCCACCACAACAAGTCCAAGCCGTCGAGTCTCCATGTTGTGAAATTTGCGGGGGAAATCATTACACACTCCAATGCCAACAAGATGTGGAGTCGCTGAACTACGTCAACAACGCGCCTCGCCAATTTCAAAATCAAGGGTGGAGATCACAAGGGCAATATGGAGGAAATCAACAAGGCCAAGGATATCAAAGACCTCAAGGTCAATTCCAAAATCAAGCCCCTCCTCAACAAAGCTATCAAGGCAACAATCCACCGGCCCAAAAATCAAACACGGATGAGATATTGGCCCAATTCATGACCGCTACCCAAGCCTCGTTGCGAAATTTGGAAAATCAACTCGCTCAATTAGCTTTGAAGCAAGAGAACCGCCCGCCGGGAGCATTGCCATCGAATACGGAAGATCCTCGAAATCAAAAGTTCGAGACGTGCCAAGCTATCGATGTCAAGAGCGAAAAAAGGGAAGAAATTCAAATCAAGCCGCATGTCACTGTAGCCGAATGGGTCGAGCCAATCCCATATCCACAAAGATTGTTAACGAAAAAGATCGAGGTCGTGACATGCCAAGCAGTCACCTTGAAGAACGGTAAGCAATTGGAGGAAGCCCCACGAAAAGAGAAGAGAAGCACGGTAATCGAGAA